ACCAGCAGAGCAGTGATGTTTCCTTACTCACGGGCAGGAAAAGCAAGTGTTATAAAATCAGTTTTCTCTCTTTCAAAAAATATTTATTGTTTCTTTGTGGTTTTTATCATGTACCTCAATCCCACTCATCACCTTCTTCCCTCTTGCCTTCTTTCCATCCTTGCAACCTTCCCCACAAAAAAAAGAAAAAAAACCTATCATGTGGAAGCTGTAATGTGCCACAGTGTGTCCCACAGTATGTACCCTTTATACCATACTTTTTTTGCTTGCCAACATTCATAGCAATCAATTGTTGCTTGGTACAAGGCCTCTGGCTTCTTTTACGCTGTCAATACTAGAACCTGACTGGGACATCGCTTGGATATCCAGTTGTTGCCCTGTGTCATGGAGATAATGCAGCAGTTCATTGATGGGGTAGATGCTGGGGTGAGCCATTTCAAAGGCCTGGATCTGAGACTGACAGTTATCTGAATTGGCCAGCCTGCAAGCTCTCATGCACCAAAAACACAGGGGCAAGATATCCTGCCCTGCCCTAGCTGGCCCATCCAGTGCTGCAGCCAGCAAGGGTCAGGGCCAGCAATCCTGCTCTCATGCCCTCAGGGCTGGCTCATGCATGCCCATGCCATCAGGACCATCTCTACTGTGCAGCCCAGGGAAGGTACAGGGCCTGTTCTCAAAATGCTACAGCAGAAATGGACTAGGCCTACTCTTCTATTCTCATGGCCTCTGAGATGGCTCACTGGCAGTCTGCACAACCAGGACCACAGAATCTACTCTGTTGCCCAGGCAAGGTGAAGGGTCCATTCTCCTGAGTGTTGAAGCAGGTGAGGAACCAGGGCAAGGTTCCTCACTCTCTTGACCCCAAGGCCAGCTCTGCTCCCTGCCTCAGGTGGCAAAATCAATTTTCATTTACAGGTTCTAGTTTGACCTTGACCTTAAACCTAGGGTTAGGTAATATGTGGTCACAGATAGGTAAAACCCTAGCTAAGAATCCTAGCAACAAGGCATATGGAACTGGAAATCGTCACCTCCTATAACCAGGAAAGATTTTCAATGTAGGAATGGGCACACCAACCCATCCACAAAACCTTCAACCCAAAATCTGTGCTGCCTACAAGAGGTGCAGATATAAACATGGAGCAGAAATTGAGGAAATAGCCAATCAATGAATGGCCCTATTTGAGACCCATTCCGTGAGAGAAAACCAGACCCTGACACTATTAATGATTCTCTGCTATACTTGCAGACAGGAGCATAGCACAACTGTCCTCTGAAAGGCTTTACCTGGCAACTGATGGAAACAGATACAGAGACACACAACCAAGCATTAGGCAGAGCTTGGGGAATCTTGTGGAAGAGGGGAGGAAGGAATAAAGGAGCCAGAAATGTCAAGGAAACCACAAGAAAACCTAGAGAATCAACTAACCTGGACCCATAGGTGCTCCTAGAGACCAAACCACCAATCAACAAGCAAGCATGGGAGGGGGGCTAGACCCCCTACACATAGGTAACTGATTGTTTGTTGTTTGTGGTTGGTTTGTGGTTGTTTGTGGTTCCTTTAACAACTAGAGAAGGGACTCTTTCTGACTCTATTACCTGCCTTTGGGTCCCTTTCCCCATTGGATGATAAGAAATGGCCAGTTGTAATTCTGTCACTCATTATTTGGAGACTTCACTAGGTCCATCTTCATATATTATAGGACGTTTAAACTGCATTAGGTTTCTATACATCCACTCAGATGTCCTTCATTTCCAGCTGTCTTTCCTCTCATTTTCTCCTTTAATCCCATCTCTCTTCCTCCTTCCCACCTGATCGTCCTGTTCTTGTTACTTTACCTTCCTCCTCTACAATCCACCTATAAAATGTATTCTAGTTCTCCCTTTTGAGGAGATTCATATGTCCCCTCCCCCATTTCCTTCTTCTATACCTAACCTCTCTGGGTCTATGAAACATAGCTTAGTTATCATTTATTTAATGGCTGATATCCAGATATAAGCAAATATATACTGTGTGTGTGTGTGTGTGTGTGTGTGTGTGTGTGTGTGTGTGTGTGTGTATGTGTGTGTAAATATTTATATTCTGGGTTTGTATTACCTCACTCAAGATGATTTTTCATCCATTTGTCTGCAAATTTTATGGTGTCATTTGTTTAAAAAGAGCTGATAACACCCTCAGAAAACTGACAGTGGGCCCCTACTGCTCAGGACAACTTCCACTCAGCTCGTTGAACCTCAGATGCTTTCCTGTATGGGAACTCAGTTTCTAATGTCCAGTTTCAAACTGGTATGTGTGCATTCAAAAAGGAATTGTCTATAAACTGATTGGCCTGCTCTTTGATCACCTCCCCCTCAGGGGAGTGCAGCCTTACCAGACCATAGAGGAAGACAATGCAGGCACTCCTGGTGAGACCTGGTAGATTAGGATAGATGAAAGGAAAGGAGGACTTCCCCTATTAGTGAAGGTGGGGGAGCAGTATGGATGGAGAAGAGGGAGGGAGGGTGGGATTGGGAGTGGTCGAGGGAGGGGGCTATAGGTTGAATAAAAAGTGAATAAACTGTAATTAATAAAAATAGAAATAATTTAACTTTCTCTCCTCCCCCAAAAAAGAGCTGATAATAATCCATTGTGTAAAAGTACCACATTATATCCATCTATTTTTCAGTTGAGAAATATCTAGGTTGTTTCCAGTTTCTGGCTATTATGAATAGAGCAGCAATGAACATGGTTGAGCAATTATCTCTGTGGTTAGGTATAGGAACAAGAGTGATACAGCTGGGTATTGAGGTAAATTGATTCTCATCATTCTGATAAACTCCATACTAATGTCCAGAGAGACTGTGCAAGTTCACACTTCCATCAGCAATGGAGAACTGCTCTCTATCCTCACTAGCATGAGCTGTCATTGCTATTATTGATCTTAGCCTTTCTGACAGGTATGAGATAGAATCTCAAAGCCATTTTGATTTGCATTTCCCTGATGGCTAAGGATGTTGAACATTTCCTTAGGTACTTCTCAGCTATTTCTGTTTCCTCTGTAGAGACTTCTCTGTTTAGCTCTGCGCTCCATTTTTTTTAATTGGCTTATTTGGCTTTTAGACATCAAATATGTTAAGTGTTCTTTATATATTTTGTATATTAGCCCTCTATCAGATGTGGAGTTGGTAAAATCTTTTCCCATCTTTTATGCTGCTATGCTGCAGCTGATGAGCTCTTATTTGGTAAAATTGTGCTGCTTCCCTAATACGCACATAGAGTCATGATGTCTCTCTAACTGTGGAAGCCAACTGATAGAGATCTACTTGGTAAGAGTGGGTGCAGCTGGACATTGATTGAAATCAAGCTTCATGACAATGTATTCAATATTCACTGACTTTTCAATAATACATTATACGTCAAATATCAGTGAGGAGCATGGAAAGCTGCAGGGCTTTCCCATTTCAGAGCACATGGTCTAGTCTTGATGGACTTGGGGAAATGGGGCTGTAAACACACAAATACATTAGCATTAGTGTTCCCAACTTGAGAATGGATATCAGAAAACAAGGTTTTAAAAACAGGCACAGCTCTGAACACCTTTCCTTACCTTCCTGACTGCAGAGTGAACTTCATGGGGAGGGAATTACTTCATAACCTTCCCAATGGTGCTTTCTCTCTGCCAATTGACAGGGGCTACAGACTCACAAGTCTGCCCACTTCCCTCCCCCCACACCCACACACAGTCTCTCTCCCCTGAGAAGCTGCTGCTTTGAGAGGGTGAGATCAGCAGCCCATGTGTGCTGCACACCTTAAACCCCAGCACTGGGGAGGAAGAAGCAGGTGGGGCCCTGTGGGTTTGAGGCCAAACTGGTCAACATAGTTCAAGGCTAACCAGAGACCCTGTCTCAAAAACAAACAAATAAAAGTGGGCTCACTTGCTGAGACCTCGAAGCCTCTCTTCTCACAGCTCTCACAAAGGGCATAAGTGGCCTCCTCCTGTTGCCAGTGACCTTAGACATGTAACATAGGCCACTTTTTAATTAGGTTGCCTCCTGATGTGAGACTTCCAACTCCTTCTGACACTGTTTTTATTCTTTTTTATTGTTATTTATTACAATGTAATAATTGTACTTATTACATTGAGGAGGCTGTGGCCCCCTCCCTCGTCTTCTCCCAGTCCCACCCTCCCTCCATCTTCTCCTGTGTCCCTCCCCTAGTCCACTGATAGGGGACGTCCTCCTCTCCTCCTTCTGTGTAGACTTCACTCTTTGTTAGGGTGTACTGACAGCTCTCTCTTGAGAATCAGGCCATGCTGTGGGTGGCACTGATATTCTCCTAATGAAACTCACCTGAAAACAATCTCAGGGACTCTCCCAAACACCTACCACCGTTTTTCTCAGTCCCTAAAATCTAACAAAGGGACACAGGCACGTGTGTGTGTGTGTGTGTGTGTGTGTGTGTGTGTGTGTGTGTGTGTACTTGCCAGCCATGGGGAAAGCTTGTTTACAAACCAGGAGCCTTCTGGGATGCAAGTCACAGGATCCCAGAGCCACAAAATGGCTTCGGAGAAAAGAATTCTGAAGAAGCAACCACTCTTCATCAGTCCTTCTAAACCGCATTTAGTGTGAGTTCTGGGAATACCTTGCCTGACACAGAGGTGAAGACAAAGCATCTGCAGGTAAGCAAGACTTGGGGGAAGGGGCGGAGCGGAGCACACCTTGGCAAGGTTTAGGAGGGCGGAGCCCAGAGAAGATAAGGTGAAGCACAGGGGAGCAGAGAGCTCTGTGGAAGCCTCCAGCTGTATCCAGTGCTGCCCCGCTGGGTGTAATAGGCTCCCAAGCAGGGCAGAGAGATGGGGCGGGGCCAATAAGGGATGGTGTGAACAAAGCAGAGGACAGGAGTTCTGGTAAAACAGAAAGAAGCTTGGTCCGCAAGAAACAGAGTGGAACTTAGCAGAGGGGCTGTCGGGACTGTCAGCACCACGTGGTGACGCAGGGGACCAGACCCCGCTTGGACCCTCACCATGTTTTCCACCACAAGATCCCTGGCGGCTGCTATCTGGGCAGCGCTCCACCCCTGGATTCTGCTGCTGGCTGCCCTTACTTTCCTGTTCTTGGCTGATTTCCTCAAAAACCGGCGACCCAGGAATCACCCGCCAGGACCCTGGCGCCTGCCTTTTGTGGGCAACTTGTTCCAGTTGGATTTACAGAAGTCGCATCTGGTAATTCAGCAGGTAAGAAAGGGTTTCTGGCTGTGCCATGACCCAGTCCTGGGCTGCAGGAACAGGAATTCTGGCACTGGGGACTGGAGTACCTGGCTGATGCTGGCTGCCTGCTAACCCAGCCAGTAGAGCTAGTTTCTAATCTGTGTCCTCATTTAAGAGACGCGATGTTTTAATCATCCTTGTATGAACCATTTCCATTGTTAGTCCATTATGGTCAGACAACACACTGTGTAGGGTTTCAGTTGTTTTAAGCATGTCTAGTGGTTGAGGATGGCAGAATAGTTCATTTTGATAAATAAGCTCTGCTGCTTTAAGAAATGTGTAAGCAAGTGCCCATTAGCTTAGTATGTTAAACACTCATCCATAAAACAAAAGGAACTGTTCTCTTGATCAGAATTTTGTACATCAGTTCTCTCCTATTGATACTTGCTTGGTGTTTCCACATCCTTGCTGACTGCTTGCTTACTGACTTCATCAGCTCTAGAGAAAAGTGCACTGAAGTCTCCAGCTCCTCCTGGAGTTTGCCTGTTTGTCCTCAGCTCTCCCTCCTTCCTTCCAACCTTTCCTGCATGTGTGGGTGCCTGAGTGTCTGCATGCCTGCAGGCATGTCTCTCTTGCTCTCTCTGTCTCTGTCTCTCTCTCTCTCACTGTGTGTGTGTTGTGTATGTGTGTGGTGTGGTGTGGTTTGTACACATTTGAGGTCACCAGGTATTTTTTGGCGCAATGACCATTTTCCTTTGTAACTTCCCTTTTTATTTGTAGATTTTTCAGTGCCTAGACAGAGTATACTTGGGTCCTGTTTTTTAAATTATTGTTTCAACTTCTTGATTCATCATTTATTATTCTGATCTCTTACCATTAGCTGAGGAAACACAGACCATGTTGTATACTTATTCTTATATGAGGATTTTTACTCCTTAACTGTATTGTTTTCTGTTTGTATTTCTGTTTCTTTATTCTTCTGTTATCCCTTCCCTGTGTGTTTCTTGGACACTTTCCTAGTAGTTGCGATTTTATCCATTCTCATTCTTTCATTACATCTCTCTTATCATCCTGTCAGAGACTGCTCTGTTATGAAATTGCTCAAGGAGCTTATGAGACTCTGGACTCTGCTAACACCATCTCCCACATGAAACAAATTGACTACAAACGTGACTGACCCCTGTCTCCCTCCACGACACAGCTGTCTCCGGTGTTATCCTCACTCACACTGAGAACCACATCAGACACAGCAGTGTCCTGTGCAGCTGGAAATCACAGGCAAATGAGTCTGAGGCCTTTGTTCCTTACTCCTCCTCCCATAGCTCTGTCTGTTTTCTGACTCTTCAAGTTCACAGTTTCCTTTCTGACCTCAGGCCCATGCTTTCCGGGTTCTTTCAGAGCAGACAGCAGCAGAAGGAAACTTCTCAGCTTTGCCTCACCTCAGAACGCCTGTCCCCTCCATTCCCACTCTCACTTTCCCCAGATTTTAGGACACAAGGTTGACAATCTGCTGCACTTAATGTTTTTAGATCCCACCCCCAACTTCATTCTGGTCTTTGTGGTTTCACCATAATTACTAAACTATTTTCACTCTGCTTTCAAGCATTTATCTGGGTTTCTAATTTTCATGCTGATATTGGTGGTTTCCTTCACTTGTGGCTTCATGCTGTTGGCTACTTCGTGGTAAGTCTGTATTTTGCCAGACTAGGAAGTTTCCACCACTCATCAAGAATTTTCTCACTGACACTTTCCCTTTCCTGTGTTTGGTGGACACTGAGGCACAGCTGTGCATCTCTGGTTCTGGGCCTTGCTCTTCAGCAGCTGCTTTCGCTGCACTGTGCAGGGTGGCTGCTTCTCAGCCCTGCAGAGCCTGTGGGTGTTCTCACATCACTTCTCTGCCGAGCTCTTCTGAGCAGACTTGCCCCCACACCACTGCAGCTTTCTGCCCTCGCTTTTCCCTTTGCTTCCTCTCTGTACCTTTCATTTCTTTGTTGAGACATGCCCATCATTCTAAAATTTGTGACACTTGCTTTAAAATATTTTATTTTACTATTCTCAGGCTGTGTCACATCAATAGACTTGAGATGTTCCTGTTTTAAGGTGAGTAATTTTACTTGCACAGGTAGCCTCTAAGGAATCTGAATAGCCACCTTTTTGAGTGGTGATTCAAACATAAATTAGGGTTATCTAGAGTCAACAGTGTGAATCCTGGTTGTCTCTGTGTGTGATTGCCCACTCCCACAGGAATTCACCTGACAGTGCTATCTGCACAGTCTGCTGAGAATGAGGATAGCTGCAAATGATAGCACCATTAGAATAAGGGGAAACAGAGTTGGAGACATCTACCTTCATCTTTTCTCTGAGGAGGAAACACTTTTGTTATCATAAGAGAGGATGGAAGATCAGTGTCCCACCGCAGGCTCCTTTGCAAACTGTCTTTGTAACAGTGTGGCTGTGTAGCCCATTGTTCTGCTCAGGGACTCAACCCAAATGTGATACCAAGGCAGAGTGAGTAATAGAGCTCTGCCCCTGAACCTCACTACTGCAACCTATTGAAGGGTTGGAGAAGTTCACATTGTTTTATGGTGTTCAACTCAAAGACATAGAGGCAAGAAGGCAGACATCTTGTCCTGCTGGACTGCACTTTTTTATGGCTTTGGCTAAAGACTGAAAACTCTGATGGGTTTTTACCCTCTGCCCACTACTTTGTAATTAGCATGATTAAGTAATTGCTTTACTTGAACCATAGTTTCCTAAAAATATTGACCTATATCTTTCTTTTAGTACTATATTAGATGTGAATACAGGGCTTAGGGGAAATGCCTAATGTCACAACAATGGTTCATATGAAACTGGGCCTGGGCTCTTCTTTGCAGTTGAGTTATTTTTCATCCATTTATTTTGTACTTTTTATGAGTTTACATTTTGAGATTTCTGGACACAAACAAGTGGATAAGTGGTTTAATTTACTTGTAGTTGTTTGGATTCTTGCCATCGGTAAACAGTCCTCACTGTCCGGTGGCCTTCCCACTGGTTCTCATCTTCCTCTTCATTCAGGCTCCATGACAGGCACACATGGCAGCTGCTCTTTATAGCATTTCCACTTTCCACTGAGCAACTAGTTGAGGAAAACAGGAATCTGGCTTCCCTTTGTTGTTTACCAGGGTAATGGCAAAGAAGGGCTTGAACCCAAAATTATTTGACTCAACGCTTATTCTCTGCCCTTCCTGCCTCTCTCTTCATGACATAATTAGTGGCTGTTTATTCATGGACTTAGTGAATAAACATTCATTAAATATGTACCATCACAGGCACAATGCAAGATGATTATGTGTAGAGTCTGTTCACCAAGTGTGGCATCAGATCAGATCACAATGGTTGGGAAGTTCTGTGAATAGCCTTTGGTAGAAGAATGGCCTAAATTGGGCTGCCCTAAAAGGAATGTTTAACAAGTACCTAGTGGAGTAAAACTATAAGTAATTCTAAATGGAGGAGCTGGCATGAGTTAAGACACAGTGGCAAAGAAGAAGCTGGCCTTCTTGTTGAGCATGTGGAAACTGTGTTTCCCACCCACCACACAAATTCTAAAGTTTCTTTATTGCACCTTACTGAATTATTTTAAGAACATTTTTCCTAAATATTCATTTTCTTTTTATTTATGAATGTGTGTATGTCTGTATGTGTGTATGTCTGTATGAGCACATACCTGCAGAGGCCAGAAGAAGACTCTGTTAGATCCCCTGGAAATGGAATTACAAGCAGTTGTGAGCCAACCAGTATGGGTGCCAGGAGCCAAAAGGTGGTCCTCAGTAAGAGCAGGAAGTTCTTTTAAGCATCACTTCAGCCCTGGAACATGCTTTAAACAAGGGAAAGTCTCATCAGTCTGAAGTGGTATGTTAATTATGTATTGCATGCATTACTACTTACTTGTTACAAAGCACCCCAAATACAACGGTGTAAACAAGATTAATACTTTTCCTTCTCCCAATGGGGTAATTATCTGAAGGCTGAATACCCAGGATGCAAAGGCTTCTATGTACCACAAGCTCCCTGGATAATTCCAGTTGCTCTGTATTGCCGCTCTGGTCCTCCACTATTTCATTTCTATACGTACTAGTAGTTGGAGAAGGGGAATTGTCAAGCAAGAAACTTTCATGACCGATGACCCAGAAGGCACCCATATAACCAGCATATTCCTCCAACTGGATATACCCAGAACAGCTGGGAAAAGAAAATTTTTCTTAAGAACCCACATGGTCAGATTGTACTTTGTCAACTCAATCCCTCATGGATGCTTCACTAGAGACCTTCCTTATTTGTCAAAACTTACATTCTTGTACATTCTTTTAGGAGTCCACAATAGATGCCCACTCAATTCATACTCACCTATATCAATGACTTTTTTTTTATAAGTTCTTTTTTTGGAGAGGATGGAGGTGGTTCAAGACAGGGTTACTCTATATAGCATTGGTTGTCCTGGACTCTCTATGTAGAGCAGGCTAGCCTCAAACCCACAGAGACCCTCCTGCTTCTGCCTCCCTGAGTGCTGGGATTACAGGCATTCAGGATGATCGGGAATTCATTTTTAATTGAATTTTTAATTTAGTCTACAGAAGGAAAAAATATTTTCAGAAACACTTCCCCAGATAAAGGTGCATCTCTCCATTCACATTAACACATAGACATCTCAATGTGTGTCTGTTTAAATACGCCCAGGTCTGCCATCCTGTGACACACTGACACAGACACACTCAGCTGTGACTATTGAAATGTCTTTCAGTTTGTGAAGAAGTATGGAAACATAATTAGCCTGGATTTTGGTAACATCCCTGCAGTGGTCATAACTGGACTGCCCTTAATCAAAGAAGTTTTCACTCACATGGAACAAAACTTTTTGAAACGCCCCATTACACCTATCAGAGAACGTGTCTTTAATAACAGTGGTAAGTTTAATTGAAGGCACTATTGACTTCAGTGGGTTATTTAAAAACAAACAAACAAACAAAAACTCTGTGTAAGTTTGGATGGAAAATGGGACACATGATTGGAAAGGTACTAGCAATAGCTGGAGGGAGAGAGTAGAAAAAGGAGATGACTAAAATGTATTGCACATCTATGGAATTTTCAACATAGAAAAAGGTGAAGTTAAAATTAAGTTTCTAGTACAATATAAGGAGTGTATACGATATGCTAAAGTACCTCTATGTCTGTAATTTTACAACATCCCTGTAAACCAAACCCTTCATGAAATGTTATGTTTAAAGTCAACTGGATGCCACATTTCCTAGATGAAAGCAGGCAGGAGTCTTAACAAACTGCAAGATATCCAGTGTGGCGAATATATTATTTAAGTGCATATTTAAGTGGACATAAAATGCTGATCTTGGCACTAAAGATCCCAGGTCTTAATTTTCATCATAGCTGCAAGAGAAGCTCTTGAGTGGTATTAGACAGAGAAGAAGATCTAACACTGCAATGCTGAGACTCAACTGGGATGCCAGCTAGAGAACAGTTATAAAAGAAGGAGTTTGAACATTCAAGGTGACAAAAAAATTGCAGTAGGTTAGACTGGCGTGGTTACATTAAAACTCCGTGGACTGAAGTCACTCAAGAGAGACACAACCATGGCATATGACTCAGTTATCTCGAAAACAGAGGTCTTAGGAGACTATCAGAGGGGGGGGCAGGAGTTGATGCAAAGAGGAACAATGGCCACAGACAAGGTGATTGGAGGTGTTGACTTCTATTTGGGAGTTTCAGGAATATAATAGTGACTTCTGTCATACATGGGCTGAGTCTAAATTCCTGAAAGTGACAAAGATGAAAGTCACCTGCATGAATCAGTGATATGTACCCTCTGGGACAAGACTACAGTTACCATCAAGAGAGGTTATTTACCTTATAGGAATTTGTTAGATTACCTGAAATAAAATATAGTATAGAAAGTAGGTTTTAAACCTAAACTTAAACTAAACTTAAACCTAAACTTAAAGAACTCTAATGTTGCAGGATTTAATAGAAAAATAAAACAAAAGTTATAGGAAATTTCTGGTGAAGAAGTAAGAGGAAGTTCTGTAACTGAAGGATCTAGAATGAAAAAAAGAGTTTCAGAAAAAAAAAAAAAAGACTGAATTGATGAAAGCATATATGAGGTGCAGGCCAGGAGCTGTGTTTAAAGAGTTGAACATTGTTCTGAAAGATAAGAAATGAACAGAAGCATGGCATTGTATCTTCCCTGAGACATGATAAGTGCCAAGCCCAACAGCACTCACCCCCAATGCAGCCCCCCATCTATATACATACGTATATATAAACATATACATGCATATATGTATGTACATACCAATATGTATAAACATATACATATATAGGTATGTGTCTGTATTGTGTATGAAGAACAATCATTCTTCTTAACTTCTTAAGTCATGTTGTCATTTTTTTTAAGGTATGTCTCTACTAGAACCTCCCTTATAATTCTTTTTTTAATTCCTTAGAAATGTGTGCTTTGTCTATCATGAGTGTCTTTCTGGTACTCATTATGACATAATTAGATTTACATGTCTACTAATGAAAGAACCAGAGAAGCTTGAATTTGAACAGCTGGGTGCCGATCGACTTGTTGCTTTTCAAAGCTTATTTTGCAATTTATTATCATGCCTCAATGTTTTACCAACTGAAATGGACATCTTCTTAGTTGGTAACAAACATGTAGAGTTTCTGCCAGTACAAAATTATATAATACATAAGAAGTATTTACTAAAGTATCTTGCAAGTCATGAGAACAAGTTAGCCACTTACTTCAGGGTTGTTTCTAGACAGCTATCAGTTCCCATACTGGGCTTTCTTTTTGTCTGTACACATGTTTAATACAGTTTTTCAGATACTGGTAAGCCACAATGTACTAATGCTCAATCTCTGTTTTCTAGGATTGATCATGTCCAATGGACAGACATGGAAGGAGCAAAGAAGGTTCGCATTGATGACACTCAAGAACTTCGGATTGGGGAAGAAGAGCTTAGAGCAGCGCATACAAGAGGAGGCCCACTGTCTCGTGGAGGCCATGGGAGAGGAGAAAGGTGAGCATTTCACAGGGTGGTGCAGGAAACTCTGGCCATTTCATTCACTGAACAGATTTTTATTAGTTGTCTAAAGCTTGTCCTTGGCATTCAGTGTGCTGAGCACTGAAGGTTGAATGATGAACACCCAGGCATGACTCTGGCCCAGAAGTTTGGCAGCTAAACACACAAATGGGTCACTAAGCATAGAGCTGAACTTAAAACATGACTATCTATGTTACTTCCCAGATACTGAACAAAGTCCTTGAATCCTGCCAGGCTCCATGTAGGAGACTCTGGCCAGATCTTTTCATAGTGTCTTCTACTGTGAATACTTTATGTCACTTCACACAGAGTAGAAACTTCATGAAAAAGAGAAAGGAAGAAAGAAAGAAAGAAAGAAAGAAAGAAAGAAAGAAAGAAAGAAAGAAAGAAAGAAAGAAGTTTAAAGACTCCACCCTCCCCCTCATCTCCCCACCTCCAGGACAGCCTTTTGACCCTCATTTCAAGATCAACAATGCAGTTTCCAATATCATTTGCTCCATTACCTTTGGGGAACGCTTTGAGTATGAGGATGGTCAGTTTCAGGAGCTGCTGAGGTTATTAGATGAGGCCACATGTTTGGAGACATCAATGATGTGCCTGGTAAGTTCTCTGCCTTTACATATTTTGGAAAAAAATTGGATTAAGACTTCTTTAAAAACAGATAGGTTTTTCTTTTGTTTTGGGAAATTTTTGAGGCTGATATATAATGTCTTAAAAGTTGAATGTGCTTACTGAAATCTATACACCTAAAGAAGATAAACAAGAAATAGGACCCGGGGTAAGATGATCAATCTTCACTTAGAAAGACAAATGGGATGGACATTGGATGTAGGAGAAAACAAGTAACAGGACAGGAACTTACCACAGAGGGCCTCTGAAAGACTCTACCTAGCAATGTATCAAAGCAGATATTAAGACTCAGAACCAAACCTTTGGCAGAATGCAGGGAATCATATGTAATATGAGGGAGTTAGTAAGACCTGGAGAGGACAGGAGCTCCACAAGGACCAAATATATCATGGCATAGGGTTTTTTTATGAGACTGTTTCTCCAACTGAGGACCATATATGGAAATAACCTAGAACCCCTGCTAGGATATATATGGTAGCTCACTATCCAAGTGGGTACCCTAGTAAGGGGAACAGGAACTATTTCTGACATGAACTCAATGGCTGGCTCTTCAACCTCCCATCCCCCGAGGGAGGAGCAGCCTTGCTAGGCCACAGAAGAGGACATTACAGCCAGTCCTGAAGAGATCTGATACGCTAGGGTCAGATGGAAGGGGAGGAGGTCCTCCCCTATCAGTGGGCTTGAAAAGGGGCAGGGAGGAGATGAGGGAGGGATGGTGGGATTGGGAGGGAATGAGGGATGGAGCTACAGCTGGGATACAAAGTAAATAACCTGTGATTAATATGAAAAAATAAAAATTATTATTAAAAAATTAAATGTGCTACAAACCTATTTATAATGTAAGAACATAGCATATGGAAAACATTTCTAACATTTATATTAACTATTTAATATTTATGCTAGTACATACACATCTTTTAAAAACAAATAACAATGGTTCTAGAAAAAACAAGTAACAATGTTTTTAGAAAAACAAGTAACAGTGTTATAAGTGATTAAGATTGTTTCTATGCCCCTCCCTTCCTGCCTCAGAGTCACCTTCTGAGTGTATGTTCTAGCTCTTCAACTTGTTTTAAAATTCCTCTTTCTACACAGTACAGTATCTGAAAGAAATGTCATTTACTCTGTTGTTGGGTATTTGAGTTGTGCTAGCTTGAGTGTGTTAAGAATAATAAACCCATGAATATTCTGGTACCAGTGTTTAAGTGAACATATCCACTTAGGTGGATTTTAGTCTGCTTTTTTTTTCTTTTCTTTTTATTATTATTATTAATTACACTTTATTCATTTTGTATCCCCCCATAAGCCCCTCCCTCCTCCCCTCCCGATCCCACCCTTCCTCCCCTTTCTGCATGCATGCCCCTCCCCAAGTCCACTGATAGGGGAGGTCTTCCTCTCCTTCTTTCTGATCTTAGACTAACAGTTCTCATCAGAAGTGGCTGCATTGTCATTTTCTGTGGCCTGGTAAGGCTGTTCCCCCCTCAGGGGGAGGTGATCAAAGAGGAGGCCAATCAGATTATGTCAGAGGCAGTCCCTCTTCCCATTACTATGTAACCCACTTGGACACTGAACTGCCATGGGCTACATCTGTGCAGGGGTTCTAGGTTATCTCCATAAATAGTCCTTGGTTGGAGTATGAGTCTCTGGGAAGTTCCCTGTGTTCAAATTTTCTTGTTCTGTTGCTCTCCTTGTGAAGACCCTGTCCTCCCCAGCTCTTACTATTTCCCACTTCTTACATAAAATTCCATTCACTCTGCCCATCAGTTGGCCATCAGGCTCAGCATCTGCTTTGATAGTCTGCAGGGCAGAGGCTTTCAGAGGCCCTCTGTGGCAGGTTTCAAGGTTGTTTCCTGTTTTCTTCTTCTGGCTTTCAGAGGCCCTCTGTAGCAGGTTCCTAGGTTGTTTCCTGTTTTCTTCTTCTTCTGATGTCCATCCTCTTTGCCTTTCAGGATGGGGATTGAGCATTTTAGTTAGGATCCTCTCTTTTGCTTAGTTTGTTTAGATGTACAGATTTTAGTGGGTTTATCCTATGTTGTATGTTTATATGAGTGAGTATATACCGTGTGTGTCTTTTTGCTTCTGGGACAACTCACTCAGGATGATCCTTTCCAGGTCCCACCATTTACCTGCAAATTTCATGATTTCCTTATTTTTCATTGCTGAGTAATACTCCATTGTATAGATGTACCACAGTTTCTGCATCCATTCTTCAGTTGAGGGGCATCTGGGCTGTTTCCAGCTTCTGGCTATTACAAATAAAGCTGCTACAAACATGGTTGAGCAAATGTCCTTTTGTGTACTTCAGCCTCTTTTGGATATATGCCTAGGAGTGGTATGGCTGGGTCTTGAGTTTGTGTCAGAGACAGTCCCTGTTCCCATTACTAGGAAACACACTTGGAGACTGAGCTGCCATGAGCTACTTCTGTTCAGGGGTTCTAGGATATCTCCATTCTTCGTCCTTGGTTGGAGTATCAAGTTCAGAAAAGATCCCTGTTCTCATATTTTTTTATTTGCTTGCTCTCCTTGTGGAGCTCCTGCCCCCTCCAAGTCTTTCTATCTCCCCTTTCATAAGATTACCTGAACTCTGCCCAAAATTTCGCTATGAGTCTCAGCATCTAGATCGATACCCTGCTGGGGAGAGTCTTTCAGAGTTCCTTTGTGGAAGGCTCCTGTCCTATTGCTTGTTTTCTCCCTCATCCAATGTCCATGTCCAATTGCCTTTCTGAATGAGGACTGATCATCTTACCCAGGATCCTCCTTCTTGCTTAGCTTCTTTAGGTGTACAGATTTTAGTATGTTGATCCTATGTTATGTTATATAAGTTATGTTATATAAGTGACTATATACCAAGTGTGTCTTTCTGTTTCTGGGATACCTCACTCAGGGTAATCTTTCCTAGTTCCCACCATTAGCCTGCAAACTTCATAATTTCCTTGTTTTTAATTGCTGAGTAGTATTCCATTGTGTAAATGTACTACAATTTCAGTATCCATTCCTCAGCTGAGGGACACCTGGGTTGTTTCCAGCTTCTGGCTATTACAAATAAAGCTACTGTGAATATGGTTGCACAGATGTCCTTAATGTAAAATTGAATCAAAATACACACAAATCAGCAAATGAATTCAATACAGACCTAGCCATTTCCATTTGTTTTTTGTTTGTTTGTTTTCCTCAAAACCTCAATTTCTTGTTGCTTGTGTCATCCATATTACTAACCTTTTCAACTATGTTACTGATTTTCTCATTGATTTTGAGGACTTTTTTTTTTTAACCTTAATGACTTTCTTGGCTAGGTCTGTATTGAATTCATTTGCTGATTTGTGTGCATTTTGATTCACTGATTTTTTTTTTTATGATTTTTGGTTTTTGGAGACAGGGTTTTTCTACTTAACCTATGCTGTTCTGGACTTGCCTTGTAGACAAGGCTGGCCTCGAACTCACAGAGATCTGCCTCTCTCTGCCTCCCTGAGTGCTGGGATTAAACGTGTGAGCCACAACCAGCCCACTTATTATTTCTATTAAGAAAACTCTTGAATTTTTTATGTAGCACTTAACTTGATTTTAGTATGCTTGGGTTCTGAACAAACTTGTTCAGAATTGATTTTTAGTTGCTTCCTTACAAGTTGTCCTTTCATAATTCCTGTGCTTCTGTATTACACTTTATATCTCTTCTGGAGTATACAGAGGTAACAGTTGCAGAGGTTTTAGCTTTACCATATGTTTAGCTTTACCATGCAATGACTCAAGAGAATGAAGCTGAAGCTCACTTACTCGTCCTTTAAAAGTTCATGGTTATGAGTCTTAGTATCTACTTTGAAACACTGCTAGGTAGAGTCTTTCAAATGCCCTCTGTGGTAGAATCCTGTCATACTTTCAATGCACATCCCATTTGTCTTTCTAAATGAGGACTGATCATCATACCCGGTGTCCACTTTCTTGATTGTCTTCTTTAGGTGTATAGATTTCATTATGTTTATCATATCTTGTAGGTGTATATAAGCGAATATATTCCATGTTTGTCTTTCTCCTTCTGGGATACTTCACTCAGAATGATCTTTTCAGATCCCACCATTTGCCTGAAAATTTCATGATTTCCTCTTTTTTGATTGCTGAGTAGTATTCCATTGTGTAAAAATACCACAATTTCTGTATCCATTCCTCCATTAATGGACATCTGGGTTGTTTCCAGGTTCTGGCTATTACAAATAAAGCTGCTACAACCAAACTTTTGGCAAAGTACAGGAAATAATATGAAAGAAGGGGAGTTAGTATGATATGGAAAGGATAGGAGCTCCACAAGGATCAAACATATCTGGGCACAGGATCTTTTCTGAGATGGACACTCAACCAAAGACCATGAGTGGATATAACCTAGAACCTCTGCTCGGATGTGACCAGTGATAGCTCAGTAACCAATTGGTTTCCTATAATAAGAGGAACAAGGACTATTTCTTTTTTTTTTTCTTCTTTTTTTTCAGAAACTCAATGGCAGGCTCTTTGACCTCCCCACCTCCCAAGGGAGGAGCAGTACTGTTAGGCCACAGAGAAGGACTTTGCAGCCAGTCCTGAAGATACCTGACAAAACAAAGTCATATGAAAGGGGAGGAGGTCCTCCCCTATCAGTGGACTTGGAAAGGGGCAGGGAGGAGATGAGAGAGAGAGGGTGGGATTGGGGAGGGAATGAGGGAGCGGGATACAGCTGGGATACAGAGTTAACAAAATGTAACTAATAAGAAAAAAAAATTTAAAAAAGTTCATGGTTTCTCTTTAACATGTTCTGTTTCTGTAGATTGACTTCTCTATGAGGCACCCAAATGTGAATTTATTCTCACTTGTGCTATCCCCACAAACTTGCACTTTATTAGCAAGTTCAGGAATGCCCTTAGCTAAAAACTGAGAGATTGGTTAACATGACTTATTGGTACAAAAAGGAGAATAAAGAGGGAGATCAGCTGCACTTATTGCCCACATTATAGTGTGTGGTTGTCTTCACTCTTGTGGTAGTTCCAAATCCAGCAGCTCCATTGCTTTCCTCCTAGTAAGCAGAGCTTAGGAAGTTCGTGGAGTACAGTGAGTGCCCAGACAACTTCTAAGTGTGTGTATGTGGTGGGTGGAGATTGATGGAAGAGACAAGCAGGTGGTAAAGAGTGGTAATGAATATTCTTGTCATGACAAATCATATCAGGTACTTTATTCACCATTAATTTTAATTCGGTAATGATTGCCATCTTACCACGTAGAAATTAAATCATGTTGGGGACATGAGCACACATGAGCATACAGCTACCTGCACAGTGATAATTTCCCTGAGAGAAAATAAATCCTTACAAAGAATTAGAAAGAAAGTGAAAAGATGCCTATCACTTTGACCATAATCAAGCTCCAATAACTTGACTTTTGAGTATTATTTTCATGAAGTGAAGGATGAGGCTCACACTAGTTTAGGAGATGCTATCTATTCACAGTAAATACCGTCTGCATAAAACTGAAAGAGAAATGCATTCAATGTGACCATAGAAACCACCAAGGCTGAACTGTGTAGAGGAACATGGATAATGATGAAGATTTGAGGGGTTTCTTCTCTGTAGGTATCAAAGGTACAAAGCACTATGTTCAACTTTGATTGTAGTGGATGGCTGTTGGGGATTGTGAGTCAAGAAGCGAAGCCATGTAATCACATTGGTAAGTGTTCTAGGAACTATTTGCTAAATGATCTGAGGAGGAATTAACAGTGTATTCAGAAAAAAAAATATTGATTAGTATGCCACCATTCAGATAGGAGAGATAATGATGTAGACCAGTGAGCAAGGAACTGGGCTCATTAAAAGTGCCCTGTTGCTTCATATGTGCTGGATGGCACAGTTGAAACATTGTATGTTCAGTGGTGAGAGGAAAACAAGAAACCAAGATCACCCCAAAGATCTACTAAAAGAAACAATGGAAGGACAGTATTGTTTTAAAATGTGAAAAAGTTACTCCATGGTTTGATTCTCTAATATGTTCTTATTTTTTCTTTATAAGCTCTACAATGTATTTCCATCCATAATTACACATCTTCCTGGACCACACCAAACAGTTTTTAGAAACTGGGAAAAACTGAAATTGTTTGTTTCCCGAATGATGGACAGTCACAGGAAAGATTGGAATCCTGTTGAGCCGAGAGACTTCATTGATGCTTTTCTTACAGAAATGACAAAGGTGAGGAAGATGATGTCTGGGTCTTTTATGGTGGTTTGAAAGTTTCCAGTTGATCTTGCATCATGCTGTCATACACTTAAGCACATACCATTGCACAAATTCATTACTAGATAAATCCTTATGCCTGTGTAAAAGATCAACTTCTTCTGAGGATTGTGGAGACTCCATCACCGTGATGCTCCAAGCTCTCAGAAGGCACTGATATCCTTTGCTATGGCTCCTTCCTTCATTGTCAGTGCCAGGCTTGTAGAACCTTTCACCTCTCATCATCTGCTTCCATCTTTACATCTCCTTTTTCTGGTTCTTTTGCTCTGGTCAAGCTCCCCTCTAATAAGAATAATTCATGCTAATATTCCTCTCTCAAATTAATCATACCTGCAAAGTCAATTTTAGCTTATCAGTAACATGCATGGCTTATAAAATAAAGATCTGGACATCTTTGTAGATCACTGATTAACATACTGTGGGAATATAACTAGGGAATAGCATTTTATAAATGCATAATGCAGTACACCAGGAATACCACTAGAAGAAAAATATTAACTTCTATTTGGCATGAAGTTCTAAACATAGTAGATAATGTAACTATATACCCCTGCTTACCCTTCACCCTTACCTGAAGGAACTATCCACAAAGGAAAACTAGCAATTAAACTTCAGAGCTCTAGTTTTACATGAGTTGGTCGAAGCCAGTCCCCTTTCCCATCTCAGTCCACACCGAATTTAACTGAATACTGGAGTTTAACTCCAAGGTCTGGGTTGGACCTCTGCCTTCGTTTGACCCCATGTCAAGACTCTCCAATGATATAAAGGATGGAAAGTAGCCAGTTGCAAGTATGTGTTACTTATGCATATTGTGACAATACACAACAAAAACAATGTGAGATTGAAGATTTATTTTGGTTCAGAATTTCAGGAGTTTAATCCATCATTTCAGAGAAGGAATAGCAGAGCAGCTTAGCTTCTGATGCAAAGGAGTGTGGTAGCACCTGCACAGCATTCTGTACCAGGAGTCAGAAGCAGAGGCAGAGTCAAGGGCACTGTTACACCTTTGCGTTTCTCCCCTGGTGATGGACCCTTCAATAAACGTCACCTCCTAATTCTCCTGAACCCGCAAATAAGTCTCATCAACTAGGAACTAAGCATGCCAAACATGAACCAGTAGGAGACATTTCAGATTCATAGTATAATGTTAATTGTCCTGCTATAATCTCAGTAGGGCCTCTGGATAATCCATTATATCTTTCATAGGCTCTTTGACTCACTGGATTCCAGGTTCCTCCTCTGATCAAGTGTATAGTGGTATAATGCCTGCCCACTTTCTCTTTTATTTCATCAACCCATTTCATTTCACATAATTTACAATGACTAAGATGTGTTTTGTATTATTCAGAGATTTCTAAAGGTATAAAACTAAAAGCCATTCTAATAAATCCCATATACATACATATGTATAAATTAGAAGCTGTGCTCCAGATAGTCCAAAAATGACTGTCTAACAATACAAAATCCAAGAATCCTGTAGTTGTTCAGTCCAAGAACTGGATGTCTCAGCTGATCTTCATCATATGTCAGAATCCTGAAGAAGTAGGCTTTGAGGCCAGTGAAGGAGCTGACTTGCCAGTGACAATAAAGGCAAGTAGGGGATGAACAAAAACTTTATTCTTTCATATCATCTGGATAGGCTGCCACCGGAAGGTGTCGCCCAGATTTAAGATGTACCTTTGTATTTTAAAATTTTGTATCAAAGAGGTGCCTTCTACTTTAAATGATTTAATTAAGAAAATCTTTCTCAGTTGTATCCAATAACGTGGAGTTTAGTTCATTCCAGATATAATCAAGTTGACAACCAAGATTAACCATTGCAAGTATTTCTCTCACTCTATAAAACTAAGTCAGAAAAATGTAAATTGAGCACTGTAGACCATGCTGTGACTTAGTGATGCAACTGATACATGAAAGCAAATGCTCCTTTGTATCCAATTATTTCCCATTTTACCAAAAGCTTTTTTCAAAACTATAGTTATGAGAAAAGAATTCTATTGGTTCTTATCCACTCAAGGGCTTTGGATCAACCTCACACTTAAAGGAGAACAACACTATCCAATGTGGTCAAGGGGAATATCATTTAGAAGTATTCTTTCTAAATTTGTTTTCCTGTTCTTGAGATAATCACAAATCACCTAACAATAACAACAGAAAATGACACACTGTCTTCTTTAGTATCCTGACAAGGCTACGACAAGTTTCAATGAAGAAAACCTCATCTGCAGCACTCTGGACCTCTTCTTTGCTGGAACAGAGACAACATCTAACACGCTGCGCTGGGCTCTGCTCTTCCTGACTCTAAACCCAGAAGTGCAAGGTGAGCAAGTGCTGAAGGCACTAGACAAGGCAGAATGGTGCTTCTCAAAGTTGTGGCTTAGATTGGACCAGAGCTAGAATGGAGAAGAGGAAGACATGGAACAGCTGTGAAGCAAGGTGTTCTGGGGAAAGGGCATGGCCTTCATATGTCCTTTTAGAATTGTGATGAGTCGTGAGTACAGCCATTATAGTCTATGCTTTGTAGAATCTTCAATTCCAGGGGAAAATAGACAAGTAGGCTGTCGTGTCGTTGTGGTAGGTTCCTTCAAAGGGTAACACTGTCCCGTGAAAATCGACTAAGTCCATCCTTTCTTTTCAGCAGTTCCTTCTCATTTTCTCCTGGATAACATCCAGACACCTCAGTATGATCCTTGGCAACCTGCTGATGTTGGCTCTGCTTTCCACTCTCAACCATTCTGCATGGTACCTCCTGCATTACATTTTCTCCATTGGCATTGCTTTAATCTTTCCTCTAAATACAGTCTTGGGCTTTTCATCTACCAAGAATGTACTATCCCAACTTCTTCAACTTTCAGACAAATTTTCTGAAATACTTCCCCCCAAAATATTTTCAATTCTTCTAAGAATTACTGCCTGGGAAATTACTGCTGTGCTCTTCCTTGAGAGATGCTGCAACGTGCCCCATTAAAAGGCTTTGCACATTGTTTATGTCTCCACAGAGACTTTCAGGCCCTCAAAAATAGTGGCCCAGTCCATCACTTTTATTCCTCAAGATTACTGAAGATTGTATCAGATGGGAAGTAACACTTTTTATTTCATGAAATATTTTTTCAAACTTTTGTATATGAGTGAAGCATCAAGTCACTGTAGCATATTCAAGCCAATTATTTTTTTCATTGATAATTTTTTGATTTCTTTTTCTTCATTAATTACACTTTACACACTTTGTATCCCCCCATGGTTCCCTCCCTCCTCCAGTCCCAATCCCTCCCTTCCTCCACCCTCTGCATGCATGCCCCTCCCCAAGTCCACTGATAGGGGAGGACTTCTTTTCCTTCCTTCTGATCCTAGTCAATTAGGTCTCATCAGGAGTAGCTGCATTGTCTTCTTCTGTGGCCTGATAATGCTGCTTCCCCCTCAGGGGGAGGAAATTAAAGAGCAGGCCAATCAATTCATGTCAGAGACAGTCCCTGTTCCTATTACAATGGAACCCACTTGGATACTGAACTGCCATGGGCTACATCTGTGCAGGGGTCTTAGGTTATCTCCATGCATAGTCCCTGGTTAGAATAGCAGTCTCAGGAAAGACCCCTGTGCTCAGATTTTTTTGGTTCTGTTGCTCTCCTTATGGAGTTCCTGTCCTCTCCAGATCTTACTATTTCCCACTTCTTTCCTAAGATTTCCTGCACTCTGCCCAAAGGTTGCCCATAAGTCTCATATCTACATTGATAGTCTGCAGGACAGAGATTTTCAGAGGTCCTCTATGTCAGACTCCTGGCTTGTTCCCTCTTTTCTTCTTTTTCTGATGTCCAGCCTCTTTGCCTTTCTGGATAGGAATTGAGCATTTTAGCAAGAGTCCTCCCTCTTGATTAGTTTCTTTAGGTGTACAGATTTTAGTAGGTTTATCCTATATTATATGTCTATATGAGTGAGTATATACCATGTGCATCTTTCTGCTTCTGGGATAGCTCACTTAGGATGATCTTTTCCAGATCCCACCATTTACCTGCAAATTTCAGGATTTCCTTGTTTTTTATTGCTGAGTAATTTTTCATTGTGTAGATATACCACAATTTGTGCATCCATTCCTCCACTGAGGGGCATCTGGGCTGTTAAGCCAATTATTTTTACCCTAAGATAAAAATAATAATAGTAACCACAATGTCTCCCGTGTAGTCAAGATAAATTGGTCACATCTCAGGCTCCATTCACTGTTTGAGACAGGGCCTTTCACTGGTCTGGAACTCACCAAGTAGACACACTGTCTGGCCAGGGGGGCAAAAGCATCTGCCTATCTCTGCCTCCCCTTTACAGTGGGATTAGAATCACATGTCACCATACCTGGATTTTTTTACATGAATTCTAGGGATCAAACTCATACTTGCATAGCTATCACTGTATTTACTGAGATTTCTTTCATGTTCAACCTTTTTATTGATGCAAAGATGTATGTATTCATGTGGTACCTACATTTTTGTTTCTGTGATACAATACCATAACTAAAATCGATCTATACACTGGAGGGTTATCTGGACAGAATCTGTAACTCTGCAGAAAGTATGCAGTGGGTATCATGAGCATAAAGCTGAGACATCAGGTCTCAACTGCAAACACAAAGCAAAGACAAAACTTTAAGTAGGGCAAGGACAGAAACTCTCATACCCATCCACATCCACGAGCTTCCTCCAGCAAAGCGCTGCTTTCTAAAGGTTCCAGGGATGCCCAAACAGCACCATTAACTAGGACAAAGTGATTAAATACTACAGCATATGCTCTACATTTTTCATTTAATCCTTTTCGTTTGAGCCTTGGTCTCTACAGGCTCATGGTATGTTATGATCCAAATTGCATTTAGTCTAACTTTACAAGCCCCATAGCCTTTAACAGTCTCGATACTACTCAACAATCCAAAGTCTCTTCTGAGACTCAAGGCAATCTCTTAACTGAGACCCACTGCAAATCCTAAAAGCAGGTTTACATACATCCAGCATACAATGGCAAAGAATCTGCTGAGCCTCGAAGAATGTAAGTAGCTTCAGCAGCAAAAAGAGTTCACTATGAGTTTGCAATATACGTTCCACTCTGATATATCTCCTTAAGAAATCACAATCTACAGATATTCAGTTCACTGAAAGTTTGTACTTTCTCTATAAACTCATGTTGTGAAATCCAGTTACAGGTGGAGTGGTGTTAGGAGGTACTTGGCCCTGTGAACTGAATTAGTTCACAAGGGATACCAGACAGGCCACTGAGATGGTTCAGCTGGTAAGGGCACTGACTGCAAGCCTGACGGCCTGAGTTCAATCCCTATAGCACAGATGGCAACAAAAGACGACTGACTCCTACAAGTTGACCTGTGCACGTCACTCTTTCATTTGGAAACATGCAAGCACATACAAATAGAAAAATGGAAAATCTTCTAAATGTTTCTTTAAAATGTATATGTAATATATATTTCTAATATGTTTCTCATATATTATATATAATATATATAGCAAAGAGAGTCCCTTCTTCTTAGGTTACTATGACACATAGAAGCTTTGCCATCTAGAAACAAAACATTAATCCTCATCAGATAAGAAGTCTCCTGATGCCTTGATTGTAGATATCCCAGACTCTCAAACTCTGAATATTAAGCTTTTACTTTTTCTAAACCATTAGGTGAGGAGAACTTATTTACAGAAGCCTGAATGAGTATTTCTATGAGCTTAGTTATACTGATCACAGCTATTCAGTTCAGGATACTTGGAGAGCTATGGTTATGCTATAAGCACAAGGAAAATTACAGACAATTTTTCAAAACAGATTTTTGAGGAGATGAGGAACATGGTGTTTCTTTGTAAACAGAACACTGGGTGAAATGTAGAAAGGTAAAGGCTTGGAGACAGCTTCTCTGTCTTCAGAAGAAAGCAGTAAACACTGAAGCTAACAGAGCCCCCTGTTTTCTTGCAGAGAAAGTACAGTCTGAGATTGATAGAGTGATTGGCCATGACAGGCAGCCAAGCACAGACGACCGAGAGTCCATGCCCTACACCAATGCTGTCATCCATGAGGTGCTGAGAATGGGCAACATCATCCCCTTGAATGTTCCCAGAGAAGTAACCGCTGATAGCACATTGGCTGGGTACCACCTGCCGAAGGTAACTTGGCACTCTCAGCTTCTGACCTACAGTCCAACCATGGCATTATATGAAGAACCCAAACATAAAAATAAAAATAACACACACACATATCAGATATTATTTATAACAAAATGTAAGCCTTTTTCCAATGTCTGTAAATGATATTTACATGTACTGTGAGGAACAGAGAAAGGAAGTTTCCTTGCTGAAATTTGTTCAAAGTTGGATTTATTTGCTAATTACATCCTTGCATGTTCCTGTGCTAATGTGGACTCACAGGACTCTGCATTCTTTTGTTATTGCCATATGTGTGCTCTGAGGTGTTTTCCAAGTTTACAACTTTCCTATAGTTTATAACTTTCTATCTCACAAAGAAAACTAGTCCAAAGTAAAATATTAATTATAAGAAAAGAAGAGAAAAAGTATATAGCTGCCAAGCAAACATGATAAAGGTGCTTGTTTCAAAATGCCTTAATCCCCTTTTCGTTTTTTTTTCTTTTTTTATTGTTTATTATTATTAGTTACATTTTATTAACTCTGTATCCCAGCTGTATCCTGCTCCCTTATTCCCTCCCAATCCCACCCTCCCTCCCTCAGCTTCTCCCTGCCCCTTTCAAAGTCCACTGATAATGGAGGAACTCCTCCCCTTTCATCTGACCCTGTTTTATTGGGTATCTTCAGGACTGGCTACAAAGTCCTCCTCTGTGGCCTAGCAGGACTGTTCCTCCCTTGGGGGGTGGGGAGGTCAAAGAGCCTGCCATTGATTTCCTGTCAGTATTGATGCCCATTTCATACATTAGAACACTGAGACTCTGTAAAAATAAGCTCACATAAGCCCTCTCTACTACAATATACAATGTCAAAAGAGTTGGGATCTGAAACTAAACCTGTTCTCACTGTTTGTACTGCCCAGTACTTACTGTGTTAAACATTGAAAGATCTCCCTTATACTTTTCTTCATAGATCCCTCCTACATTCCTTCTGTTCACACATCATATGCAGACCTCAGCTTAGGATCTACTCAGGAATTCTGCAGAGAGCTCTCAGGACCATACCACACTCTTTCTGTTCAAGGCACAATTATCATCCCTTACATACTTTTCTGGATACTGTATATTGAACAAAATCAGACATTTCTTGGCAGTCACAAGATAAAGGCCCCAGGTTGCAATTCAGCATGTAACAAGGGGTAGGCAGAGCAGATTAATCTTCATGTCAGTGGCCAGGAAGAAGAAGGGAAGCCTGCAGCAGACTACCTCCCCACTCTTTATATTTCACTCAGTTCTTCAGCATGGAGGATGATGCCACACAGAAAAAGTCTACTGCCATTAGATAATGCTCTCTGAAAATATCCTCACACTTACTATCAGTAGTATTCAGTTGTAATCTCCTAGACGATTATCTATTATAAGAGTCCAGAATCAAGATTAACTACCAGACGTAGCCTCTGTGGCAAGATCCTTAAAATGTATTCTCTAGGAGAGTCTTCAAAGTTGAGATCTTAAGAATCTACCCTAGGAACACATAAAGTCCTGCATTTAGCCCCAGAAAACAGACTACTTCAACATATGTCTTCTGACATGGATCATCAACGTCAACTCTAAGAGTGGTTCTAGACACTGAAGATCTAACTGCATAATATGCGAGGGAGGCAAAGAGCTATGACCTCACCTGGACTTAGCTCCTGAAGTGGATACATCTCTGCCTATGGTGCGACACTACAAAAAAATTGTTACTTTCCCATAGGGTTAACTTCTACATTGGTATGATGCAGTGAAACCCACGGCACAGGATCATGTGGAGTCCTTACAGAAAGAGAGGTCATACGTGTAGAGATTTCCACTCCAAATAATTTTATTTTTTTATAATTTTTATTTTTTACACACCTGTAGCGAGAATTTTGGTTTACCCAGAAATGTTACAGGAATATGTTTTTGTTTCAGCCCAACTTTTGGGATATGGGGGTTTCTTCAGATTGCCCACAGCAGCTCACTATGATTTTTTTTTAATTGTCAGGGGAATGATTTTGCTAGCTGCAGATGATTTATATTTGGAGTTCTGGGAACTCTTCAGAGTGTGTGTAAATGCTATAGCACTGAAAGGAGTTGCTACTGATGCTGCCCCTGTTATTGTTGCTGCTGGTTTGCTGGTTGTTGCAGTTTATTGTAGTTTCTCAAACGGTCATGTACAACAGGAGGAGAAGGAGAAATTAGACATTCTGATTGCAAAAATCGAACTTGCTCTGAGGAACTCACTGGCTTTAATCACCAAGAAGTAGTCAAACAATATTGTTGCCCCCTTTCCCTTCTAGCCTTCTTTCTTTCCTACCTATTTTGAGGGAGTTGGAAAGGTAGAATAAGTATGGAGAAGTGTGATAGGAAAAGGCACCCATAGTGTAGCCAAAAGTCCAGATACAAGTGGCGCCCAGACATGTGACTAGGCAGAATGGGAAATCTGATTTCTAATGACATAGAAGAAATGGCAAAAGAAACAAGGATGGATATCTTGTTTCAAGACATCAACAAAAAGTTTATTGTTGCTGCTACTGCTAGGCCATTTTTTTCTTTTTCTTTTTCTTTTTCTTCTTCCAATATTCTGTTTCAAAAAAAAAAAAAGGTCAAGGAAATGGCTGAACAAGTGGAAAAAATCGTGAGTGGAAATGGAGGGATCTAAGAAACAGAAATGGCTGAAATGGGAAAATGAAAAGGGTAACTCTACTCTCTCATTTCTGAAAGGGTTGCAGAGTTGGCTGTACAACTGGGAAAATGTAGCTGTAGATGGAAGCACTTGAAAAGTGAGTAGCACCAGAAAGGCGGTAATAAAAGGCTCAGACCAAGTGACTGAGCAAGGTAACAGGAGTTATCCCACGAGGGAAACAAACTGTGCTAGAAGGCCCATCTAACACCAAACACTCATTTTCCAATCTCTACAGCCCCTGCATGGGACAAGAAACTAGGTGTGCAGTGGGGGAGGTGAGGGGCTGCTATGCAGGGCAAAAGAATCAAAGAAAAGCTGAAATAGCCCTTTCAAAAGAAAGAGTTAATCTTGAACCAACTGTGCTGCCAGAGATACAGGAGAGGTGGCCTGGGATTGCAAAATCTCTATAGGTTTTTGCAGTAATCATGCGGCACATGCCTGCTAATGATATGGATCATGTTTATGATGAAATGATAGGGTTGAGGTGTGTTTAAAGAGGCTATGATTTCCTATGGAATATACTCACTTTATGTAAAACAATTTTAAGTAACTTGGTTACTCAAAATAGAATTATTCCCCAAGACTAGAAGGGGTTGGTAACAGCTGTGCTAGGGGCCTGTCAGCAGTCACGACGGTTAACATAGTGGAGGGAAGAAGCTGCAAATATTGAACAGTGAAATAGAACAAAGGAAATGAATATTGTCAAAGATAAGTTGCCGAGTGAAGAGTGGAACTCTGATCTATAAGAACAGATTTGATTTGATGGCCCCGTTATAGAATAACATTGCTTAGTGGCTTTAAGAGCTTGGGGAAAGTTGAGTCCAATGAAAGGTCCACCTCATTTAATGAGATTATACAAGTGTCTAAATATTATGCAAGTCTCTAAATAGCTAAGATTATACAAGTCTCTAAATTTTGCAAAGATTGATTTCAGCTACAAATAAAGCTGCACCAGGCCCTGACCAGAGGCAGATAGAGCCCCTTACATTTGAGAACACAAATACCAAATATAAAAGTCATTAGTCTGTTAAAGGTACAGGGAGCATCAATGGACGAGTAGATAACGGACACAACTGATTTGGATCTCATAAGTACGATGCTAATATCATAGGACAAGCTATTGCTAAAGGTCTCCGATATCAAAATGCCTGGTGCTTTAATTGTAGTAAATTTATTCATTTGAAAGGAAACTATGACCAAGTTGCTAAAGGGCTCAGATCTCAAAATGGCCTGTGTATTCATTGTGAAAAATATGCTACTTTCTTCCAGAAAAGTGAATGAGCCTTTCTTAGGAAATGGTGTTCCTAAATATCAAACAGAAAGAACGCTTAGGATTCCCGGGGTATGCAGGCAAGGGATACCACTGGGCCAATGAGTGTAGGCCCAAGGTGACTTTGTATAATCAGGAAAAGGCTTTGGGGGACCAGCTCAAGGCTCTGCAGCATAAACTATGAGCTGTTTCCCTCCTGTCATCAGAAAATAACAAGCAGAAAGAAAAACCACAACTAAGTATTGCTGGTCTCACACACACTACAGTAGGGAGTGCTGTTCTAGGCTTAGGTAGAGGTATACCTCTTATCCTATCCGCAAAAAATTCAGTGTCACAAAATAACTATTGGAGTTTATCATCTTCTGCCCTCGAGGACAGTAGGGATGATCTTGGAGAAGGAGTGGATTGGCTTCCCAAGGATTCATTGTACATCAAGAATTATAAATAGGGGTTTCAAAGGATAAATTAAAAGTATAGCCTATGTAAAAGAGAGAGACATGCAAATTAATGCAAGTGCTAGGATAGCTCAGCAGCTACTGGTTCCCTACATCAAAAGCAAAGTCACTCCAGTAGAAAAACAGGAGGGTTTGGGAGTACTATAAAATGTGTATCAAATAATGGTCAGGTCAAAATTAAAATTATAAATAAATAGTGTTGAAATAGAAGGTTTGCTGGATACAGAAGCTGATGTAGCTATCATTTCCCAAAAATATTGGAATTCAGAATGGTCACTTCAAAGGATTTATATACAATTTTTTAGGAATTGGGACATCGTCTCAGATAAAGCAAAATGTGTGTTGGGTTAAATGTGTGAGACTGAAAGGTCAAATAAGATTAAGAACGTACCTGGCTGACATACAGTGAACTTATAGTGGAGGAATATTTTACTACAAGGGGCACTCAGACTATTCCTGCAGTCCCAGAAACAGTTCATGATGAAATTAGGGATGAAATGACATGCTCCTGGGGAAGGTATAAGATATATGTCGTCAAAAAACAATCGCAGGCTATGCCAATTGTCCATAGAGGGAAATTACAGGAATTGAAGTTCCAGATTTACTAAGGGAGGCAGGAGGAGACTGCTGAAATACCAACAGTCCTGACGTTAAAATGGTTGGTAGACAAGCCTATACGGGGAGATCAATGACCCTTAACTAAGGAAAAATTACAGGCAAATGAACCGCTGTTACAAGTGCAGCTGGAGACTCAGCATATACCAGCACATGGAATTTCCCTGTGTTTGATATTAAAAAAAAAAGTAAGTCAGAAAAATAGAGGATGTTAACAGAATAAGAGTGGTGAACAGAAACAATCCAAGATGGCGGCACCAACCACACAGAGACTCTGAACAGCAGCTTAGCAGTGAGAGCAGAACGACCTACAGACCATACTGTGGACTCCCATAGCCAACATCTGTGTTTCTCAGGTGAGAGGAGATCCCACGGGGAAACTCGAGAGTCCAACTTCAGGCTACCCAGCTCTTCCCCAGAAAAGTTCCCAGGCTGGCTTTTGCCTGACACAGCCATAGCCCGGGGCAACTCAACCAGTCCCACCCTCTGTGGATACTTTCTGGGACCAGGGACAAGACTCCAAACTGGGCAACCACTCTCACCGTCCAGCAGACACCTTCTCAGTATCAGGGGCTCCAATCTCAGGCACCTACTCTCACTGTCCACTGAAGTGGATGCCTTTTGGTACAGGGGTCAAGTGGCTCCAAACTTGGGGTCCACTCTCCCCTTCCTGTGGACATCTTCAAGTACCAACGACTCCAGGATCCAAACTCAGGTGACCACTCTCACTGTCCCATGGAGAGGATACCTTCTGGTACTGGGTGCACTCAGCTCCAAACTCAAGGTTTATTCTTACCACCCCGGGCACACGGCCCCAACCACAGGCCTCCTGAAAGCAACACCAGACACTGCTGCAAGGCCCAACTCATGTCCCGAAGGAGACCAACAGGACCTCTGAGCTTACAGGCTCTCTAAAAAGGCTGCACCCAGAAAGTACAGTGTCTGAGCACAGTGCCTGGGCTCACTAACCTCAGAGCAAGAAAGCTAGTAGTGGGGCAGCTAACTCCAGGACTTCCCTTAGTGAAAGGAGGATCCCTGATTTCCTGAGGAATCCACTTGATCCCCAGAAGGAAACATCTAAGGAGACCCACCAGCAATTCCCTGAGACCCACCCGCCAGTCTGAGATCATGCTCACCACTCTAAGAAGGGTTCCTGCAGGAACGTCCAGCTTCCTTCCCAGGGCTCTTCCCACATCCAGTAGGCAACAAGATCTAACAGTATACACCAAAACAACCAGATGGGTAAAGTTCAGCATAAAACCAATCAGCACAAGCCAAAACAATACGGCCTCCCCCAAACCCAGTTATCTCAGAAAAGCAGCCCTGAATATCCTGACACAACTGAAACACAAGATGAACTTAAATCTATGCTTATAAAGATAATAATGAAAGAAACGAGTAAAATCCATAAAGAAATACAAGATGATACAGTCAAACAAATTGAGGTCTTTACAAAGGAAATACTTAAATCACTGAAAGAAATACAGGAAATTTCAAACAAACAGGTGAAGGAACTGAACAAATCGTTTAATGAAAGGCAGGAAAATACAAACAGGTGAAGGAAATCAATAAAACAGTTTAAGATCTGAAGATAGAAATGAAACCAGCAAAGAAAACACAAACTAAAGAAATCTTGGCGAGAGCACTTAGGGAAGAAAAGAAGAACTACAGAGGTATGCATCAATAACAGAATACAAGAGATGGAGGAAAGAATCTCAGGTGTAGAAGACACAATGGAAGAAATTGATGCATCCATCAAAGAAAATATTAAATAAAAAAAAATTCCTGACACAAAACATCCATGAAATCAATGACATCATGAAAAGAAGACACTAAGACTAACAGAAATAGAAGAAAGAGAAGATGCTATCTTTTTTCCATTGTATGGTTTTGGCATCTTTGTCAAAAATCAGGTGTCCATAAGTGTGTGCGTTTATTTCTAGGTCTTCTATTCAGTTCCATTGATCCACCATTCTGTTTCTACGCCAGTACCGTGCAGTTTTTTATTACTGTTGCTCTACAGTACAGCTGTGGAGCAGACGTGACTCAAAGAGTGCAAGAGGGCAGCCTGCACTAAGGTAGGAAAAAGTAACAGACATGCCAAATTGGAGAGAATGAGAAAATGGTTCAGGTGATAGAATGGACGCGTGAGTCATATGCGGTAAAGGCACGTTCTGGATAGTCCAGGCTCCACGCCGGCAAGCCTGATGGATTGCTTACTCTGCATGCTTGATTTGTTCCTATCCTGCTGATGGACTGGGCTCAGAAGCTCAGTACTGAGGCCTGAGAAGAGGGAAGCAGGGATGGAAGACCCAACATTGTCTTTTGCAGACCTTCCATAATCCTCGCTGTAGAAAGCAGCTGTGTTGATGGTTATTTACAAGATGTCCCATTATCTTCCCATGGATGTTCATATGTATTCTCACTATCACATGCTGACCTCTTCCCACAGACCAACATTTTGTAATAAAGAGAACTCTAACAGCCATGGAATATTCTAAGAACACACAATCCATTATTGATCTGAACTAAAGATGGTGTTTCATGGAGAGCTGAGGGTATGGACACAAATGGAATGATGGGAACCCCCATGGCTTGTCTGGGTCTGTTGTATGCATCAACCCTTAATACTTTTCTTTCTTCTTAGGGTACCATGGTCCTGACCAATTTGACTGCTCTGCACAGGGATCCCAAAGAGTGGGACACTCCAGAAACCTTCAATCCAGAGCATTTTTTGGAGAACGGAAAGTTTAAGAAGAGAGAATCTTTTCTACCATTCTCAATGGGTAAGTGGTAATGAGAAGGAAACAAGCCAGAATCCTACTTCATTTTTCTCCTTCTCTTCTGCCTGGAGATCTTTAATTTGAAAATCTCCATATAGCTCTAACCAGTGCTGCTCCAAGTTGTTGTTGTTGGAATCCCAGTGTCCTCTGGACCAAGCACTACTTCTCACCCCTTCTATCTCTCAAGCTCTCCTTTGCTTCTGATAGAAATTTTGGCTTCCACTGTTTTGCTTTCCACAACATTTGAAACAGAGATCATGAAATCTGAATACACGCCATCTTTTCAAAGTCTTTAAATATTCAGCTTATTTTTGGTGATGATCCTTCGAAGGTAAATATCTCAGATTTGTAATGAGATGGGAAGCAGCATGGGGAAGTGTCTACCTACTCACTACAGTGGGAATATCAAACAATAATAGTAACTGTCGGGGCAAGATGGCGGCGCTGGGAGGACTATCATTCTGAGGAGCAGCACAGCAGGATTGGCACAGTGACCAGCAATCAGAACTCGCGGCCATAAAACACAAGTGATTGTGTTTCACAGGTGAGAGGATACCCCACGGTGGGGGATTCAATCAGCTTTAACTCACCCGGCTAAACCGAGGAAGAGATCCTGGTTCCGCCAGGCACTTGGTTGCCAGGCCAGAGCTACACGCCAGCGTGATCTGGTCACGGTCCCAGACTGAACTGTGGGCCCACAACACCATAGACTGGATTTCCCAATCAAGAGATAACACCACGGAGCGGGAAACGATTGGGACCGACCTCAGGTTAACCAGACATCCCCTGGAAAAGACTCGAGTTCCGCGGGTGCCCCAAGAGCCAGCCCGGACCCAGAACCGGGACACAGGTGCCTGCATGGAGCCCAGTCTGCATGCGTGATTCGCCACCTCAGATAGAACTGTGGGCCCCAGGGCACCAGACTGCGAGCCTCTGGCAGGAGGAAACCCCCAGCGGAGGGGGTCAGCAGCTCTAACGCTTAGGACACCCAGCACCAAAACACTTCCTGGACTCACGCAGACTCTAGTGCAGGCAGGAACGCTGTGCTCTGCCGCCATTATTGAGTTCCCCTAGGGCACTGGGACACACAGCTGCATCCTCAGACCTACAAAAGCCAGAGAGCCATTACAGCAGCCCTCAGATACTGTGCCAAGGATCAACCAGTTATCCCTAGCTAGACTGTCAAAACTGTGGGAATCCCTGGTCCTTCAAGAGGGCTGCACCCACAGCGTCTGGACCAGAGTAGTGCCTGCGGCCGCCATCCCAGACAGAGACATACAGCTTCTGGTCCAGACTGAGGCACCCAGCCTCCAGACCAGAGCAGTGCCCCCAGGTGCCAACTCAACCTAGGTGCACATTCTCCAGGTCCAGAGCAGAGCAATCAGCCTCTGGCCCAGAGATTTGCTGAGTGCACCTCCCACTTTCCCGGACAGAACTGTATGTCCCAGGATAACAGACTGAGTTTCCCTGTTGGAAGAAAACCCCACAGCTAGGGAATCAGCAGTTTCTTCAAGAGGACTGTACACGGAAATTTAGTGAGCAGCAGCACACTAAATTTATAACAAGAAACCCAGCAGTGGGGCAGCTGTCTTGAGAAATTCTATGGGTAAGAGGAGATCCCCCCACTGCCTAACATAGACCACAGCTACTACTCAGGGCTATAAACCTGAGGTGAGCAGTGGCAACTCCTGAGAAACACTGGCCATACAGTGACCATAACCAAAAAGCAGAGAAGGACTCCTTCAGGAAAAATCATCTTCCGACCAAGGGGACACTCCCTACCTCAGGACTCCAGGAAGCACAGAAACTAACAGCCAACACCTAAATCAGCCCAAAGGGTAGAGGTCAGCGTAAAGGCTCAACCAACAAAAGACAGAGCAATATGGCATCTCCAGAACCCAGCCATCCAAGGGGCGAACAGCCCTGAACAATGCAGCATAATAGAAAATCAAGAAGATGACCTTACATCTATGCTGATGAAGAGGATAATAGAGGAAACAAATGAAATAAATAAAGAATTAGAGGAAGATAAAACCAAACAGATCATGGCTATCCGTAAAGAAATGGAGGAAGATAAAGACAAGCAGATTAGGGCCATCCGTGAAGAAATACAGGAAGATGCAGCCAAACAGCTTGTGACCTTCAGAAAAGAAATAATTAAATCACTGAAAGAAATAAAAGAGACAGAGTTGAAGGAACTATAAGAAAAAGAGGAAAATACAAGCAGACAGGTGAAGGAAGTAAACAAAACAACTCAAGACCTGAAGATAGAACTAGAAAAATTAAAGAAAACACAAATGGAGGAAATAATGGAGAGGAAGAATTTAGGGAAGAAAACAGGAACTACAGAGGTAAGCATAACCAACAGAATACAAGAAATGGAAGAAAGAATCTCAGGTGTAGAAGATACAATGGAAGAAATCGATGTATCTGTCAAAGAAAATGTTAAATCCAAAAAATTCCTGACACAGACCGTACAAGAAATCCAAGACAATATGAAAAGACAAAACCTAAGAATAATAGGAATAGAGGAAAAAGAAGACTCCCTTCTCCAAGGCCCAGAAAATATTTTCAACAAAATCATTGAAGAAAATTTCCCCAAGTTAAAGGAGAAGCCAATAAGGATACATGAGGCCTACAGAACACCCAACAAATTTGACCAGAAAAGAAAATCCTTCCGCCACATAATAATCAAAACCGTAAGTACACAGAACAAAGAAAAAATACTAAAAGCTGCAAGGGAAAAAGGCCAAGTAACATATAACAGCAAACCCATTAGAATCACACCTGACTTTTCAACAGAAACTATGAAAGCCAGAAGGGCCTGGACAGATATCATGCAGACCCTAAGAGAACACAGATGTCAGCCCAGGCTACTATACCCTGCAAAACTCTCAGTCCTCATAGACGGAGAAAACAAGATATTCAATGACAAAAACAAATTTCAGCAATACCTACACACAAATCCACCATTACAGAAGACACTGGAAGGGAAAATTCAACCCAAGAAAATTAGCTACTTTCAAGAAAACACAGGAAATGATTAACCTTACTACAGCAAAACAAAAAGCAACCAAGCACACAACCTTATGAACACAGCCAACATCAAAATCAAAGGATCTAACAGCCACTGGTCATTAATCTCTCTCAACATCAATGGACTCAACTCTCCAGTAAAAAGACACAGATTAACAGAATGGATACGTGAACAAAACCGAGCAATCTGTTGCATACAAGAAACACACCTAAGGCACAAAGATAGACATTACCTGAGGGTAAAAGCTTGGAAGACGACTTTCCAAGCAAATGGACCCAAGAAAAAAGCAGGAGTAGCCATTCTAATATCTGATAAAATAGACTTTCAACCAAAATTAATAAAAAGAGATGAGGAAAGACACTTCATACTCATCAAGGGAAAATTCCACCAGGAAGACATCAAAATCCTGAACATCTATGCCCCAAATACAAGAGCACCCACATTTGTAAAAGAAACATTGATAAAACTTAAACCACATATAGATCCCCACACATTAATAGTGGGAGACTTCAACACCCCACTCTCAAAAAAGGACAGGTCAACAAAACAGAAATTAAACAAAGAAACAATATCTCTGACAGAGGTCATGAATCAAATGGACCTCACAGACATTTACAGAACTTTACACCCAAACACAAAAGAATTTACCTTCTTCTCAGCACCTCATGGAACCTTCTCCAAAATAGACCACATAGTTGGACACAAAGCAAGCCTCAACAGATACAAGAAAACTGAAATAATCCCTTGTATCCTGTCTGATCACCATGGAATAAAGCTGGACTTCAACAACAGAAATAGCAAAAAGCCTACATACACATGGAAACTGAACAACTTGTTACTAAATGACAGCTGGGTCAGGGAAGAAATAAAGAAAGAAATTAAAGCCTTTCTAGAACTCAATGAAAATGAAGACCCAAACTTGTGGGACACAATGAAAGCAGTGCTAAGAGGAAACTTCATAGCACTAAGTGCCTTCAAGAAGAAATTCGAGACAGCTCATTCAAGCAACTTAATGGCCCACTTAAAAACCCTAGAAAAAGAAGAAGCAGACACAACAAAAAGGAGTAGATGGCTGGAAAAAATCAAACTCAGGGCTGAAATCAATCAATTAGAAACAAATAAAACAATTCAAAGAATCAATGAAACCAAGAGCTGGTTCTTTGAGAAAATCAACAAGATCGACAAACCCTTAGCCAAGCTAACTAAAAGGCAGAGAGACACCACCCAAATCAACAAAATCAGAAATGAAAAGGGGGACATAACTACAGACACTGAGGAAATCCAAACAATCATTAGGACTTACTTCAAAAGTCTATACTCAACAAAATTTGAAAATCTAAATGAAATGATTGATCGATTTGACTTACCAAAGCTGAATCAGGACCAGGTAAATCAATTAAATAGTCCTATATCCCCCAAAGAAATAGAAGCAGTCATCAAAAGTCTCCCATCCAAAAAAAGCCCAGGACCAGATGGCTTCAGCGCAGAATTCTACCAAACCTTCAACGAAGAGCTAACTCCAGTTCTCTTCAAACTATTCCACAAAATAGAAACAGAAGGAACATTACCAAACTCATTCTATGAAGCCACAATCACCTTGGTACCTAAACCTCACAAAGACCTACCAAAAAAAGAGAACTTCAGGCCAATCTCCCTTATGAACATTGATGCAAAAATACTTGACAAAATACTTGCAAACCGAATCCAAGAACACATCAAAGATATTATCCACTATGACCAAGTAGGCTTCATCCCAGGTATGCAGGGGTGGTTCAATATACAGAAATCCATCAATGTGATCCAACATATTAACAAACTGAAAGAAAAAAACCACATGATAATCTCCCTAGATGCTGAAAAAGCATTTGACAAAATCCAACATCCATTCATGTTTAAAGTACTGGAGAGATCAGGGATACAAGGCACATATCTAAACATAGTAAAGGCGATATACAGCAAGCCTATA